TTATATTAGAAAATGTATTAGAAAATATATTACAAAATGTATTAGAAAAAAAAAAAAAAAATATATATATAATAAACAGTAAAGATCGTTTCCTTTTTTTTTTTTTTCCACTCTGCGCACTTTTCATTGTGTACGCAATTTCTGCGTTGGCCACTTGAGATGTGCGGGGACGTACGTCCCACACGGCCATTTGGGTAGTACGCGCGCGCGCTGGGTACGTGTGCACACGCACGCACCTGTGACTTGTGCGGCATGGCCACTTTTAGTGGGAATTCACTCATTTCACAGACATATATGCCAAAGTAGGTGTCATGCTTTTGTTTCTGTTTTTTGCTTCTCTCCTGATTCGCAGCTTCTTCCCGTTTTTTTTTTTTTTTTTTTTTTTTTTTTTTTTTTTTTTTTTTTTTTTTCTCCTTGGAGAGTATGAATTTCGGGGGAGAGTCACTTAAGTTTCATCTCGGAGTCTTTCCTTAATTTTTACCTTTTTTATGACCTTTACCATTTCACTCGGAGCGACATAAAAATTAGCATGTGAGAGCCCATCCCTGTGTGGGAGAGATTCGCGAATCAGGTTCGCCTGGGCCGTGCGATTTGCAATATAATCGTTTAAAATAAAATCGCCTTGCTATGTACTCACAGCAGCCTAAGGGGGCCATTGCCTTTACGTCCTTTTGCACCGCTAGGACAAGCCTCTTTTTTTCTCTATTCGATGCGCAGCCCCCCCCCAAGGGTATACACGCATACATGCTCAATAAACACGTGCGTAATGTAATTATATATTCATACGTATGACAATATATATATACATTTTTCCCCCCTGCCCTAAAGCACTACCCGCGCGATGAGGTGTTTTTTTCATTTCATTCTCGTAGCGGGTACACATGAACCATTGAACAGTGTGTGCTTCTTTTTTTTCCACCCACCAGCACTAATTAAAAAAAAAAAAAAAAAAAAAAAGTTTGTTTTTTTTTTCCCCATGAAAAATTAACAAGTGAACCTCGCCAGTGTATATGGGCACGAATTAGAACATTGCCCAGAATGGTACACGTTCATGTGCATTAACGAGTGCTTCTCTTTCGATCAGCTAGCTGTACACATGCACCTATTGTTGCACATCGTGGGGGCAGTCGATTTGCGGTAATGTGCATAGCCAGTGTGTAACAGCAACAAATTAGAAAAAACAAAAAAAAAGAAAGATTACAATTTATATTAGAAAATGTATTAGAAAATATATTACAAAATGTATTAGAAAAAAAAAAAAAAA